ACACACACACTCACAGGCAAACACACTCACACTAACAGACACACAGTCAGACACACACAATCAGACACACACACACTAACAGACACACGCTCACTCACTAGCAGACAGACACACACACTCACAGGCAAAAACACACTCACTGACAGACACACACTAGCAGACACACACTCACTGACACACACACTCACAGGCAAACACACTCACACTAACAGACACACACACACACAGTCAGTCACACACACATACACTAACAGACACACACAATCAGACAGACACACACACACACACTAACAGACACACACTCACTCACTAGCAGACACACACTAGAAGACACACACACACACACTAACAGAAACACACTCACAGACACTCTCACACTAACAGACACACACACACACAGTCAGACACACACACATTAACAGACACACACACTAACAGACACACACACACTAACAGACACACACTAACAGACATACACACTCTCACTCACATTAACACATTTTTTTAAATTTAAAACCCCCAGGTAACCCCCTTACCTTTGGGAATGCTGGGGGGGTGGGGTTCTCTTTCTCCCTGGGGGGTCCAGTGGCTGCTGGGACGTGCGGGCTGCTGGGCGGCTGGCGAGGGAGCACTTCCCCTGACGACTCTGCTCAGCTCCCTCGCGCGCTGCAAAGTGAAGCTGGGAGCCGGAATATGATGTCATATTCCGCCTCCCAGCCTCACTCTGCGGCGTGCGAGGGAGCTGAGCAGACCGCTCAGAGGAAGAGCTCCCTTGCCAGCCGCCCGCCAGCGCCGCTCAGCATGTCCGTTAGCCGCAAGGCTAACAAGGTATTTGCCCTGGGCATTTGGGTGAGGCTTTTTTTGCCGCCCCCTGGAAAATGCTGCCCAAGGGGCTAAAACGTCCCTGGTGTCATGGGGTGTGTGTGTCTGTCATGCAGGGGAGGGCTGGCAGCCTTAGCCCTGGGGGGCAAAACCAGTCGAGTGGCCCATTGCAACACCAAATCAGTTCACCATCCATGCCCACCTTTTCCTGGTTTTATAACGGATATTGATGTTATGCTAATCAGTAGCTCTTTGCCATACCCACTCCTTCACGGCTCTGACTTTCAATGTTGTCAGAGCGCAGGCTGAGAATCTCTGAGCCTGTGCTCTGACTCACTAACTGAGCGCCGGAACCACGAGGGAGAGGATATGCACCAGTGGACCACCAGAGAATCGTTTAAATTGAATATGCTGGTGTACCCAACTTGTGAGCTGTGTTGGCCGCCGGGCGCCTCTGTTGTCATGGCGCCATCCCCACCCAACCCTTCCCCCTGCCCCGCCTTCTAAATACACACACACACATTCACTGACAGATATGCATACACTAGCTAACAGAAACACACACTCGCTAACAGAAACACACACACACTAACAGACACACTCACACTCACTAACAGACAAACACACACTCACTAGCAAACACACACACTCACTGACACACACACTCACAGGCAAACACACTCACACAGACACACAGTCAGACACACACAATCAGACATACACACACTAACAGACACACACTCCCTCTTCTTACTCCCCCCACCCCCTCTTCTTACTCCCCTCCCCCTCTTCTTACCCCCTCTTCTTACTCTCCCCTCCCCCTCTTCTTACCCCCTCCTCTCCTTCTTCTTACCCCTTCTCTCACCTCCCTTTCCCTGTAGCTTGGCCGAGCTCCTCTCCGGGTGTGCACTTCCTGTCAGTCCGGCCGGGTACAGGAAACAGAAACTCTGCGCAGAACAGGAGTTTCTGTTTCCTGTACCCGGCCGGACTGACAGGAAGTGCACACTCAGTGTGCACCTTCCTATCACTCTGGCCGGGCACCGCAGACCAGAGAGGAGCTCGGCCACACTACAGGGGAGGCGAAGGGAGGGGAGGGGAGGGGAGGAGAGAAGCAACTGCAGCCACCTGAGGCTCTTAACAGAGCGCTCAGGCGGCTGCAGCATTTAAAGGGCCGGCCCTGCAGCGGCCGGTCTTAAAAGAATTTAGGGCGGCCTGGGGGGCAATTGCCTCCCTGCCCCCTGGCCCAGCCCGCCCCTGCTGTCATGGTATATGTGTGTGTCGGTCATGGTGTATGTGTGTGTTTTAAAAATAGTGTTTTTACTCACCTTTTTTTTCCCCACTCTGTGTTGGTCTCCCCTCGACTGGCCCTGCCTCTATGGCTGAGATCATCAAGCTTTGCCATATAATTGGCTGCAAAACATTAAAACAATCAGCATGTCCTCATAGAGATGCATTGAATCAATGTATCTCTATGGGGAACGTTCAGCGCCTCCAGAGCGTGGAGGCCCTGAATGTAGGTGCTGCACACTGTGCAGCACTGACACAGGAAGCAACTCTAGTGACCGTTTGAGTGTCTGTCACTAGAGGTGTCACTATGAAGCAATGTAAACACTGCCTTTTCTCTGAAAAATCTGTGTTTACATTGAAAAGCCTGCAGGGACAGGCTATAAACACCAGAACCACTACATTAAGCTCTGTGTGTGTGTGCCTGCTAGTGAGTGAGCTTGCTTGCATGTATGTGTGTGTGCCTGCTAGTGAGTGAGCTTGTGTTTTTATGTCAATGAGCTTATGTATATCAGTGAGATTGTTTGTCTATTAGGCTGTGTATCAATGAACTTGTGTCAGTGAGATTGTCTGTGTCTGCATGTGAGTATGCTTACTGAATAATTAAAAGTTTTACTTTGAAAGGACCAATATTTTATATTAGAAAAAGCAATACATATTTGATATATTATATTTATTAATCATCTGGGGTGGCAAGACATAGCCTTACATATTACATGCCACAATATATGGCGAAATTACTTATGGGGCTGGTATATATTTTTTTTCCAGGTCTGCTTTGTGTCCCCAGTCCGGCCCTGAGTGGGACTCAGTGGTGTATTCTGGTTTTGTGCTGCCCTAGGCATTACAAAACTTGGGTACCCCCGCCCCTACTGAACCTATCAAAGTGAATGAGATGAGGGTGAAAAAGTCACAGAATAGCCCCCAACGTTTAGGCGTGTACGCCTTTATCAAGGGAGCATTGCTTGATGCAATGCTCCTTGATGCTCCCTTGATAAAGGCGTACACGCCTAAACGTTGGGGGCGATTCTGTGACTTTTTCACCCTCGTCTCATTCACTTTGATAGGTTCAGTAGGGGCTATTCTGTGACTTTTTCACCCTCCTCTCATTCACTTTGATAGGTTCAATTAGTTCTGGTATGTATTACTTGATGAACATTTGTATACAGGTATCCATTCTCTTTTGTATCTGGATTGATACTATTTAGCCTGCATATCCAGGAGTGCTTATTGTTATCTTCTGATTGGGTTATAGCCTTCATATTGACTGTATATGTATGATTATATTTATAATAAGATTTGCAGTTAGATATTTGGTGATACCTGTGATTTTTGTACCTGTATAATAAAGTGCTTCTCATTCATTACTATAGAATATTGTATTATTAGCCTTTGGAAATAGGGCTTTTAGAGTGAGCACCCTTATTTTTGTATTCATATTAATTGCAGGTATCTATTACACATGGCTGGCAGTCGGGTGTGCCCACCATCTTTTTGTTAAAGCACACTCACTCAGTGTCAGACTCACTGACAGATACACACATACACACTCAGTGTCAGACACACACCCACTCAGTGTCAGGCACACACATACTTACAGACACACACACTGACAGACATACACACACACTAACAGACATACACATTCACTGACAGACACAGACTCTCAGTGACAGACACGCCTACACACACTGACACATGCATACACACCCTGACACATGCATACACACACTGACAGACACACATGCACACACTGACATACACTCTAAGTGACAGACACACACTCACTGACAAACACATATACACACATTTACTGACAAACACATATACACTCTCAGTGACAGACACACATGCACACTCACTAACAGACACATGCACACACACACACACACACGTATATACACACTACTTGACAAACACACATACACTCTCACTGACAGAAACACACTCTCACTAACAGGCACACACTCACTTTTTTTTTTTTCAATCCACCCAGCCTCCCTACCTTTAGGGAATGCTGGAGAGAACTCTTCCCTGGGGTTCAGTGGGGCTGGCTACATATGGGCTGGCAGGCAAACAGGCGGGCAGGCAGGTGCACAGTGGAGGTGGGCGCGAGAGAGCAGTAATTCTCCAGCTCAGCTCCCTCGCACGTCTCTCAGTGATGCAGGGTCTGGAGTGATGTCATACCCCGGCATTGGCATCACTGCTGGGCACGCCTCCAATCTGTGCAGATACCTGCCTCTGGGGGACCCAAGATGGCTAGCTGGCCAGCTCTTAGGCCCCCTAGGACAAGAGGCCGATAAGGCATCTGCTGGGGCGATTGGGGGGGCAGCTTTTTGTGCTGCCCAAGGCCTTGTCAGCCTCTTGTCCAGCCTCTGTCAGAACTATTGGTAGGGTGCCATGCATGGCACATGTGTCATAGATTGCTGACCACTGTCCTAAAGCATTCATTTGATGCTATGGTGACGATAGTAAAATATATGGGTTCAGACACTATATAGCACCTTATCTCTGGATTGACTGATCCTGTAATGTGAAGTAAGATTTTTAAATAGCCTGACGTATCTAAATTACTTTACTTTTATGATATGTCACTTCCAACTCAAGAACATAGCGAGCTTCCGTCCATATCTAACGCCGGACGCGGCTAAGGTACTGGTTCATGCTGTTGTTCTCTCTCTCCTTGACTATTGCAATCCCCTTCTCACCGGTCTTACATGTTCCCAGCTTGCACCGCTGCAATCTATAATGAATGCGGCTGCGAGGCCTATTTTCCTGTCCGGTCGCACCTCCCACGCCTCCACGCTCTGTCAGTCCCTGCATTGGCTTCCAGTTAGATATAGGGCCCAATTCAAAATTCTGGCGCTTGCTTACAAATCCCTACATAATGCTGCTCCAACATACCTATCCTCCCTCATACACTAGTATGTCCCGTCGAGACCCCTGCGCTCAGCCCAAGACCTACGCCTATCCTCTGCCCGGATCCTCACCTCTGATGCTCGCCTTCAAGACTTCTCCAGGGCTGCACCTATTCTGTGGAACTCCCTTCCCTCCTCAATCAGACTTTCAGCCAGCCTCCACTCCTTCAAAAAATCTTTGAAAACTCACTTCTTCATTAAAGCGTATCAATTAAACTGTCAGCAGGTTTCTCATCCCCCACCCCATGACTCCATTCCTTCACCTGTCAAAAATGACCTACCAAGCACTCAATAAACCCTTCTGTAACAAACTATTTAATTCCCCTACTTTAACCCTTTGTGTCACTATACCCCCCTCCCTCTAGCATGTAAGCTCATCGAGCAGGGTCCTCAACCCCCTCTGTTCCTGTACGTCAGTGGTCTGATCTCAATTATGTGTCTGTTAGTCCACCCATTGTACAGCGCTACGGAATTTGTTGGCGCTATATAAATAATAAAATAATAATAATAATAATAATGATATTAAACAGACAGTGTTAGACTATAGGGGAACCTGTCAATATTTAGCAGTTTGTATATATATATATATATATATATACATATATATATATATATATATATATATACAAATATATATATATATAAACTCCAAGTAAGAAAGGCTGCTCTCCAGTCTTTAAAACGAAAATATTTATTGGAAAAGTTTAAAAATAATGACCAACGTTTCGGTCCCCGTTAGGGACCTTAACAGGAAAACATAAAACAGTACATTAACAAACAATATATACCTTAAAGATTAGTGAAATGACTCACCCAGGTTTGTTACTCCCACTTCCCGCCGGCACCAAGTGGATTTCCGGGTATGTACGCGCATATCCATGCGTGCTCCACCCCCCGTAATCATAATGCTGTGCGTGCCTACGTCTTAGACCGTTGTGCCGACCGGTCGTCAAGGCAACGTGTATACATACAAGGGCTCCTCCTATGTCAAAAAGGGGGATATGCCGAATAAAGGGATAAAGAACAGTTCGAACAAGCCTCTTTTTGGATACACCAATTAAATACGGTGCTCCCTATGGGGCTTAACGAGAATATCCCGTACCATTCT